GGGCACTTTTAGCGCTATTCCCGGCCCGCCGTCGCCGTCACCGCCATCCTCGTCCTCGCTGCCGAAGTCGCGATCGTCCAAGCGCGTCACGTGATGGACCATCCAGCAGCCTGCGCCGGGAGGCTCCGCTGACCAGCCGCCCTGCATAGGGTCGTCCTCGTAACACGCGGGGCGAGTAAAGGGCTGTCTCGCGAGTAAGAAGTCGAACTCCACAGGTCGGCCCGCGAGTGCAAAGCTCATCCCGCCGAGGCTCGCCCGGCCACTCGCCGTGGGCCAGCACCGGACACGGAACAGCTCGCGGCTGAGAGCGCTCAGCCCAGCGTCAAGCGGAAGCGCGCCGAGGATGGCAAATCGCGCGCACCGCACGAGCGGCCTGTATGTGGGGAGCGTCTCGTACTCAGGCGGTTGCCGCCAGACTCGCTCGTCTTCGAAATGCGGCACGCCCAGCAAACGCTTATTCTCTGGGCTGCAGAAGCGGTAGATTCGCCGATTATCGCCCGCTTGTAAAGCCTGTAAGTGCGTCTCAATCACCTGCTCCGCGGTCAAGTCAGGTGATGGGAAAACATCGCGCACACGGCTCGCCACGGCAAAGGCTGGCGCATTGGACACGATCAGTAGGAGCATTCTTTGCCGGCGTTTGCGCCTTGTACGACCTGGGTGGATACCGACGTGCTCGCAAGCCTGTTATGCGTCGCTTGTCAGCCGCCTGCTGCCGCCGGGCGGCCGCTACTTGTCGGCCACCCTGCTGGCAACACGTGGTGCGGCGCAGCTTTTTTTTTGAGCTTAGCCTTCGATGTTATGAAACAACGCAAGGCGGACATGGCATATCGCTCTCGGGCTCACAGACATCCCTCACACCCGCCGCACACCCGCCGCCCCCGCGCGCGCCCCACCCCGGCCGGGAGAAAGGGGAGTGACAGTTTGGGATTACGAGCCCGAGTATGTTGAGTCCTGGCTCAACAACGCAGATAACAAGAGGGGGTGGTCCGGCTCACAGGTCCGGCTCACGCGCCTCGAGCTCGCCATCTACCGCACTGAACACTTCCGCCCCCTCGCTCCCAACCCATCCACCCCGCCCCGGGCCGCGCCGCGCGATCTCGGGCCGCGCAATCTCGGGCGATCTCGGGCCGCGCCGCGCGATCTCGGGCGATCTCGCGCTATCTCGCGCAATCCCGGAGCTCCACGCCACGCCACTCCACCCCACCCCACCTCACCCACCGCCGCGCCGCGCTATCTCGGGCGATCTCGGAGCGTCGCTCGCGCGGCGTCACACCTGCTCAAAAAGGAAGGAGGTTCCGCCATGCAGAGCGGTGGATTTCCACCGTGTACTCTGTCGTAGAGTCCGATTGAAGCATCTGGCCGAGAAAGCACAGGAAGCACTGCAACAGTGCGCCCGACTCGGGCGTCGCATAGGCCACGATGTGGATCCGGGACGACTGAGGGCGTCCACGAGTTCGCTCCACATCGTGGAGCCGCGCTTGCGTCAGCATGTGAGGAGGACTGTGCCGGCGCGTCGCTGGTCGGCGTTACTTACGTGTCATCGATTTTCCGCGTGGTTTATAAGGTTTCTGAAGAAAGAGAAATAAAAATATGTTGTCTGAAAAAACAAATCTATTGCCCTCGCGCATGTGCAACGCCGTGTCACCGCCATCCTCTGCCAGGCCGATGCTCCAAGTAAATCTCGGTGGTGGCCGCGAGCAGTGGCTGCGCGTGCCCGCCGAGGCCGAGGCCGAGGGAACGTTGTACACGGCGCTCCGCAGGGCGCTCGGTCTTACCCGCGCCCGCCAGCGCTTGGCAGTGGGCGAGCCGGTTCTCGCTCCCGACGCTGCGACGCTGCGCCCGGCGGTAGTGAGCGAGGCTGCGGCCGGCTGCGCAAACCTCGCAGGTCGCCGCACCGTCGCGTGGACTAGCACTGGCACTGGCACTGGTGCTGCCGCACCACCCGCCACAAGCACCGTCGCCGAAGGCAGGCTCGTTCGGCGTGACGGCTTCTGCTCCCGGCTGCTCGAGGGCTGCGAGCGAGCCAGCGCGGCGGTGCACCGTGGCGGGCGCGTCTCCGTCTGGCGGGCCGAGATTTGGTGCGAGGGCCTCTTCTCTGTCCTCTTCTGGGCGCTTGGCTTCCTCGAGGCGGAAGCCAAAGCCGCCGCGGCGACCGGGAGGCCGGTGCACTTGCTCATCGACTGGACCGACGAACGGATTCTCTTCCACCGGAGCGGCTCGCGCGCGCTGCCCAACGCCTGGAACAGCTTCTTCGAACAGCCGGGCCGCGCCGGCTCGGAGGAGGAGGCGGAGGCGGCGCGGCTGCCGGACGCGGCTGCGCTCGAGGCGGCGCTCTGCGGCGGCGGCGGCGGCGGCGGCGGCGGCGGCGGCGGGATGGCGTGCGATGTGAGCGTGGCGTACGGCGAGCCCTTCTTCTCCAAGATGGGGTCCTTTCGCGGCGCAGACGAGTGCGCCGAGCCGTGCGA